TATATATATATACATATATATATATATATATATATATATATATATGTATATATATATACATATATATATTTATTTATTTATTTATATTTATGTTTAAGTATATCTAATTATGTCTACCTAATTATTTTTTTGAAAAATATTATTTGAAATCTAATTTGAAAACCTAATTTGGAGGCTTAATCCAATATAACTATTGAATTAGAATTGAGTTTCATCTAATTTTGGAACTCATAACTAATTCATAAGTTACATTGAATTAGGTCTCTAAATTAGATCCCTATAATATATTCTATTTTTATATCATATCAATTAGTATATATTCATACCTAAATGATTAACAGTGGACACACTTTGGACATATTCGGATAATTTGGACATATTAGGTTTATTTTAAAATCTTTTGTGCAACTTGACCATTTATTATTAATATGCACTTTAATATTGAGTTTAAAACTTAGCAAAGATTTGTGATCATGCCCACAAAATTTTAAAATAAAACCTAATGAGATCGGGGCCCAAGGTAAAATTTTTAAATGAGACCCCTATTAATATTAAATTATATTCATTGAAAATATATATACATTTTGTTTTTCGAAACAAGGAAAGATGAATTTTATGTTTTTCTTTTCACAAATTATAGATTCAATGTCTCTTTTAAGTGTCATTTATTTTAATGAGACCAACACAAATATGTTATTTTCTTGTAATGCCTCCTCGTGAAGATGATTTGCTCCACAAATTCAACAATTGAAACAATGTTAGAATCGTAAACTTGGAGAAAGACTAGGTTTGTTTTTTTAACTATCTTATGCACACGTCTGCTTTTCTTTGACGTGATACATAACGTAGTAGGGCCATGGATTAAGTTGATTTACCAATTAAGCAATGCAAGAATGATTTAATTTGAAAATTTAATCAGTGATCTAATTCGTTAGATTAGTTGTGAGTTATAAATTAGATGGAGTCTATTTTCAGTTCAACAGTTGTACTTGATTAAAGCATTAGACTAGGTCTTCAAAATTAAGTTTAAATAGTATTTTTCTTCCCAATTATGTTGACATAATAATGATTTTTTTTTTTGTTAATATTACGAAGAGGGTGTTCGGGTTTACACGCATCTTGATTTATCATCTTCTCGATTTAGTAAAAAATAAGTCACCTACATCAGGACTATGGAATTCTTGAAGGAGAAATTTCTTATGTACTGACGTTAAGAGAGTTGTTAAGTTTTAAATTTAAAATATTTAAATTTATAGTTCATTCATATTTCAATCAAGTTACCCCTTTAGGTTTTTTTTTTTTTTGGATCAAAGCGGTGTTCGAGTTAACATATGAACATTTTCACTAATCTCTTCGTTGGTTCGGTCAAAAGTAGACCATTCACATCTAAACTAAAGTATTCATAAGAGATTGGTCTTGTCCCTAAAAAAATACAAAAAATTTTAGCATAGGACGTCTGAATTTAAAATTTATCATTAACACTTAGTTTTAATAATGAGATTTTTGACACCGCCTTTGTTGATCAAATTTGACGAAGCATAAGGATTGAGGAGAAGAGGGGTGGGCTCATGATATGTTACGTGAAAGGAACAAAACCACAAAAAGTCAAGGTTGGTGAGAGTGCTGTTTTCTTTTCTGGAAGTGATTTTCAACCACTCGTGCTGTACCAACCAACTACAGGAGGAAATTTCTGCAACTTTCGTGCTATACCCATAATAAATAATAATAATAATAATAATAATAATTTATGCTCACATTCATAATTAAAAGTCCAACCAAATTGTTGTGAAATAGTTACCCATCAAGTACAAGGTGTAACCAAATAGCATGGGGCCCACCCGCTGGCCCTTTAGTCCAGCATTTGAGCGAGCCATGGGCCAGCCCAATATGTTATATGGTAACCCATGAATATGCCAATACCCATGCATAGTGTCACTGATTTAGGGTGTTGACCCGTAATGTACAACAACCTGATTCTGGAGAGTCCCACGACGATGGCCCATCGACAGTATACCCCCCAGTGGAGCCAAGTTAGCTTACCAAAATACCAAAAAGAAATAAATGATACATGGAATTTAACCTTAGGGGTGGTTTAATAGTTAAATTTAATTTTTGATAATTTAGAAATTTCGAGTTTAATTTATTCTCACACCCCTTAAGGGCTAGCCACCCTTGTCCCTTACAGGTATGTTTGGTTCTTGGGTTTAGGTGGAATTCATAGACCGAGTATTGTCAAAATAGTCCGATGCATCACCTTATTTCTTGTTTGGTTAAAGATTTCAGATCCGAGATTTGAATTTCGCCGTAACAGGCCCAAAACTAAAACCAGAGGCAGCCCAACAAATCCGGAGGCCCTAGGCGAGAATATGAAACGGAGCGCTATTAATAGGCAATAATTATTAAAATATATTCTTTTAAAAGCTATTTTTCTAGCTTTTTGAAATACAAAAATATTGATTATATTTTTATATTAAAGTTTTGTTATATAGTTTTTTCAATAGATAATATAGTTAATCCATTTAATCTTTTTTGTGACAAAGTTGATCGGAGATAAGATTTTGTTAATTTAAATTTTGAAAAACTTTTCTTTGCTGAAGCAATTGTTACCGCAATATTCTAAACGCTATACATGCATTTCGAAAAGAATCTAATCGTTTTATATAAGTTAGACCTTCAACAATCAACTATCAACTATCAAGATTCAAACATTTAAGTTTTTGTCAGAAAAGGATAAATCAACAATAATATCAAAAATATGAAATCAACTTATTACAAATTCTAAGCACACCAAATTTCTAAAAATTTCTAATAAAAAATGAGAGAACAATTGAACAAACCAGTTTATTATAATAGATTGAGCCCAAAAAATTTTGACCTTTGAAACTTGATCGCTATCAATTAATTGATGGATTTTTGAACTACAACAGAATAGAGAGCTTTGGTGTTCTTTTTTTGTTCAGATTCAGGCTTCACACTTCACAGAGAGAGGGCATGAGAGAGTAGCATTAAACAAATACTGTGGTTTGTGAGTGAATCTCGTAATAATAGCAATTGATAAATTTGTGCAAGAAAGATAGAGTGATGTAGAGAGATTTGCCTAATTCCTTCACAGATGAGAAAGAGAGAGAGACATCTGGTTGTCTACCTTCCTTGTTTCAGAAGTCTAGCAGTCTACTATAGCTGGCAAGTAGAAAAATTTTCTAGGTAAATTATTGAAATGTTAATGGACCTATCAATAAAATTTTGGTCCTCTCAAATTAGCCCATCCAAAATACATGTACCTATAACAAAATCTCTTAATAGAAGGCCCCCAACTAAGTGGCCTAGGCCTAGGGCCGGCCCCGACTAAAACTCATGGTGTGGGTGGTTTAGACAATTTCATAGTAAATATCTGGTTATATTTATGATTATGGAATGAAAAGTAAGATTGATAATGAAAATGAAACGTAGGTACATTATGGGTGGCCCGATGGGTAGCCTGTTGAAGGGTTCACTAGGGGTTTTCGCTAAGGGGTAGGCTTTTTTAACGGACTAGTCCGATCTGACTTGATTTGTTGATCAATAACCGACCCGTGACCCACATAGGACCGTTGATTGACGGGTCTTACAGGCTCGGCCCGGTACATTCCCAACCACTTTGAGAAACTGTTAGAATAAACCCCCGGGTGTTGTGTATTAGCTTGAAAAAGAAGTGGTTGAGGAGTGGCGAAGAGGACAAAACTAAGACGGCATAGCCCACCGAATTGTCTTGTTTGATGGAGGGTAATTATATAGCGATTGATAAGTTTAATTAGCATTTTAAAATAACCCAAACACAAGGTTAATTATATTAAAAACCACTCATATTTTAGATTAGTAATTAATAGTCACTCGTGGCATACTTAGATGCCACATGATTCCAAAATATTTTGAACAATACTTTAGAGATAAAATATTACTCTCTCAATTAATTGGTGTATATATGTCTAGTGTTATCTAATATTTTTACCACTAAAAAAATTACCGATACAATACTTTTATGAGTTTTTGATCAAATACTAGTAAGATCTAGCTATGTACAAATGATATTTGGGTCGGTATTCATCAATCGATGATCTTTTTCATTTTTTTTATTATGTTGTTTTAAATTACAAGACATACTTTTTTGTTTTTTTATGATCACACAAAATAGATAGATACATATTTTATTTAACATCGTACTCTAATCACAAGAGTTCGAAAAGATCAACAAATTTAGGTTCAAATACATACGTTTTGAAGGTGAATTTTAGCATCTTTTAATGTCAGATGATAAAAAATTTATCTTTTTTAAATACCTTAATCGTTTTTTATCAAATCAAAAAAAAATTAATCGTAATACACATAAGTTATTCCCAAACACCTCTAACGTTGATAAAAAAAAATCATACCATTTTTAGGTAGTAGCCAATTATAGGGGAAGACGGCAACAGAAGAGAACATTCTAAAGAAGAAGCATTTCTGCAACCTTTTTTTTCAGAAAGATAAGCTGCCACAGCCATAAATGGCTTTCTATTTGACCACTTGGCACAAAATCATGGTGTGATAAGCACTTATTACCTGCTACAGTTATAAAGTGGTTATGTTCTTCTTCTGTTTTTGGTTATGTTCTTCAGTCGTGTTTATACAATCCAAGATAGAAAGGATTAAAAAAGGGGAAAAAAAAATTACAGTTTTCAACCTAAAAGAAGCCAAAATATGTAACAGGATGGAAGACCCAAAAATCATCCCCTCTCTCTCTCTCTCTCTCGACACTTCGTCTGGGGGAATAGGTTAATGGTTATGGGTTTTTGACTTGTAGTGTACTAATGGTGGAATAGAAAGAGTAGCTAAGGAGTAAGGTCCCACATGCAAAAGGCGAAAGTTTTGATATACCCTTCTGGGTCTTTGATTCCTCTATCTTCCACCTTGGAGGAAGGTACAGACGATCTTTCTTTCTATTTTGCCTCTCTATTTGCGTGGGAGTTCAAGTACTCTTTTCATTCATCGTCTTGTTTTCCTTTCTTTTTCTTTCACCCAAATGTCCAGTTGACTTTGCTCGCTGAACAAAGATGATTACAGTCCTTTGATCTCTCTCTCTCTCTCTTTTTGTTTTTTCTAGTGATTATTTTCAGGGTTGGGAATATGGGGAAATCGATTAACTTTTGTGGCATCTCTAATTCTTGGTTGTGACTATGCTTTCGATCGAATTGGGTTGTTTGTCTGATCTGAGATTCATCAGATTCCTTTCAATTCGTCATATTCTTCAACTATTTCGGGTGAGCCTCTGATGCTAATCGATTGTTCAGTTTACTGAAAACTTGGCATCTCAAAGGAGTTTGACAAATTTGATCTCCATGGAAGGATTTGGTTTTGTTTTTACTCAGGGTTGGTCCTTCTATGGAATTGATGGATGTCTAGAGTTTCTATGGGGCTTTAGTAATTTTGATAATTTTCATATTCTCATCTATAGATTTAATTCAGAACCCTTTTGCTTGAATTGATTTTTACATGCAGGAATTAGTAATTCTAAAGATTTATTGCGAGAGTTTCTTCATTGCTTGCTCAGATGAAAAAAATTGTTTTCTCTTCTAGGTTGTGATGAATTCAGCTTGCGTGGAATTGGATATTTGAGTTATTCTCTCACTTTCCCTTCTATTGAATAGGATTTTCAATGAACTGCTGGATGAAATTTTTGGTGGTTTTTCACTGAATAATTGGAATTTGATGTATTAATCATGCTGCTTGAAGTTTGAGTTCCTTGAAGTTCTAAATGATGGTTGATGTTATGCCTTTTCACCATTACACAGCCCTGTTGTTAGGGATTGTTTGCTCATAAGTGATTTCGGACTAGAGAGAGTATATTATACAGATTGGCTGCTATGAATAATGCCTAAAAGTGATTGTGGTGTTATTTTGTTTCAACTTAGAACCAAATTCAATGTCAATGAAATCACTTAAGGTAGTCCTGCATCTCCTATGTGGGTGTTTCTGTATATTTTTTTTCTTAATTGCATGAGTTTTTTGGTATGCAGACTAAGATTGCCAAGCCACAAACAATTAGCATTTCGGGTTATGGGTTGGCTAACCAAGATCTTCAAAGGTTCCAGCCATAACATCTCCCGAGGGCAATATCATGGGAAATCCGAAGATGATACAATCTGGGAAGGACCCTCTGCTTCATTGGTAATTACTGCTGCTGTACATAGTTTAGTAATTCAACTCTCATAGGGGTTGGTTCATACTCTAATGGTAGCTTAAAAGTAGGATGAATTAAATCCTGAGAAAGTGCTTCTGAACATTCTTTATATGCTATGTCTTAGCTGTATTCTCTAATTCTTCCCACATTAAGCTTATGTTGTTGTGGTCATGAATGTAGGATGCATGGTCAGATTTTGATAAAGAAGAAATTGATCTAGCTATCGCACGTTCCCTCTCAGAAGAAGATCAGAAAAGACTTTCCCTATCAGAAGATGATCAGAAAAGACTTTCCCTATCAGAAGATGATCAGAAAAGACCTTCCCTATCAGAAGATGATCAGAAAAGACCTTCCCTTTCAGACGATGATCAGAAAGGACTTTCCCTTTCGCAAGACGATCGGAAAGGAAAAACCATCGTTGGTAAGTTGCATGGCTCTGTGCTATTTGGAATTTATCGAGACACTTATGAAACAATTCCTTGTCGAGGTACAATGAAATATATCATGAAATGTAATTTGGCTAATTCCCCCCACTGATCATCTCTCTCTGGGACTTGTTCCCTCCTCTGGTAACTTGGAACATGAATTAAAAGCAGAATGCATAACATCAATACTCTTTCTATGATTCTTTTATTATTTTATATTGTTTCCGTGCATTTTGCAAGATAGTTCATGCTGTTATTTTAGGATTATATTGCATACTACACTCCTGAAAGTCTTCTGGGTGGAATCTGGGAAGTTTGAGGATGAAAAAGTACTTCATTATTGAAACTTTTGTTATTTTCCTCCAATGTATTTGTTCAAGCAACAGTTCAGACTTTATTGTGGGTAGTTTGTGGTTATGATGTCCACAATAGCCTTAACACATGCAAAGACGTTGATACATTTTACTTCGCTATTGCAGACAAGCAGTACTTTTTTATTCATCATTCGAGGCAGAATAATGAAACATATGCTCATATGGCTAATCTATAATGAGTTCTCGTGGATTCTCATTTTCCTTATTTTCCTTCTGTCTTTTTAGATAATGAATCTCATTTGGAGGAAGATGAACAGCTTGCCCTGGCTGTTCAGGAAAGTTTGAATATGGAGTCTCCGCCTCGATATGATTTTGGAAGTTTGTTCCCTTCTAACCCGTACTTCTACCCACCCGGGTACAGGTAAAACACCATCCTGCATAATTCTTCTTCTTTCTTTTTTTTTTTTCAAAAAATCTCTCTCTGTCTCTCTCTTCTCTGCCAGCTATTCTTCTGGATGATTTTAAAACAAATTATCATAGCATTTTTCACTGGGGTTGGACTATCTGAGATTCTGACTCTGTAATACTGTAATTGGCAAAAATAATACCGTTTTTGTTCTTAGTTTATAGATTCCCAAATTCTTTTCCTTGTCATGGACCAATCTGCAGTCTTGTGGTCGTTTAGAGTTACCTGCCTTCACAGGAACACAATTGATTTCCATTTAAAATCTGTTAGTAATATGGCAACAAGTTCCACCTCTGTAACTTACCCAAAAAAAAAAGTTCCTTCTCTGTAAATATGGAAAAACAAAGTCACCAATTTGGACAAAAGTTCATACTGAATAGGTTGCAGACTTGTGGAACTTGATGCCAACACTAAGGTACAGGTTTTAAATTCTCAAAGTGGCAATCGTACAAAGCATCGTGCCTTTTTAGGTCATGGAATACAACTTTTGGCTTATCAAGAGACCTTTATTCTGTTACACTAGCTTGTATGGCCACATGCATTGATGGAGTGAAGTGCCAACATGTCTTTGGTTGCAATAATACATTCAATTAAAATTTTAAACGATGCATGCAGCATGAACAAATTAGCTACAAGTTCCTATAGTGTTAGGTGCGTGAATTTTGTGTGAATTAGGTTCAATAACCTTGAGGTTGTGGATTCAAACCTAAAGGTATCCATGTAATATAAATAATGTCAAAGTTCCTGCCCAAACCCTCATTAGGGAGGACTAAACTGGGTGTTATTTAGTTGTTGTTTAAGCCTTGACCGAGTTCTTATAGAGCAACCAAAAGTTTGAAGGCTAGGTGTCTACATATATGACCTGCCACGTGTAGAGAAGTTTGCAATTTCTGACAGCATTTTGCTTGCTTTGACATCTTTCACAGATGAAATGAATGCAGGCAAAGTAACAAAGAGAAAACATCTAGGATGATATTAACATGTGAACCCAATCGCTGAAAATGTAAAGTATATACTTTTGGATTAATCAGAAAGATGAGTAATTGGAGAGGACAAAAACATTTTGAGCTAATTTACTATGCCTCAACAAAACTAGACTTCTGCAGAATTATGCAACCTACACATAAAGTTGCCTGTCTGATTCATAATTGTCCTCATATTCACTTTAATTTTTTTTTTCTAAAGCGCAAAGAGATCGTACGAAACCTGACCTGTTTATTTCACTTTATTTGATTTTAGGATCTGTGCCGGTTGCAACACTGAAATTGGTCATGGACGATTCTTGAGTTGCATGGGAGCTTTTTGGCATCCAGAATGTTTCCGTTGCCATGCCTGCAATCAACCAATTTCTGAACCAGAGGTCCAAATCTGGTCTTAGGTCTATTTTGATTTGGTTCCAAGTTGTCTAACAAAGCAGATATTCCGCTTTCTTCTTGTATTGGTTGTTTCATAATTACCACTCGAATGGTGTTGCTGAACTGACTATTCCCTTCTGTTACAGTTCTCTATGTCTGATAATCACCATTACCACAAATCCTGCTATAAGGAGCACCATCACCCTAGATGTGATGTTTGCAAGAACTTTGTAAGTGTTTATCTTTAAGTCAAGTAATTTTTACTTTTGTTTGCAACAGATAATTTTATGTGTTTATCAATATGCTGTTGGAAGCAGTCCTAGATTTTACTGTTTCTTCATCTTATGGTTTCCTATTTACCAGTAGAAGATCCAATTTCTTTTTGAATGGTCATAGAGTACAGTGGTTGGTTTGGCATGCCTTTTCTATTTATTTGCTTTTTACCAAATGTTGTGGACCTGCTAGTGACTACAAAACTTCACTCGCAAAATAAATAGTGAATTGATTGTAAATGTCCAATGCCATAAACACATTGATTGAATAAAAAAGTTTCAGGGGGCCTGGAAGAAACACAGATTGCCAGTGAATTGCAAGTATTCAGGGGCCTGCAAGTATTCACCTTGCAGTAGTGCTACTGCAACGTGAATGATATACTGACGTGATGATGGCGAACCATACTGTATGAAGAATTTTACTGGCTGTTATAAAAGATATTTCCTTGAGTTTGGTTCAAAATACCATCCTTTGTTTACTGGATTATGTGCTTCTGGGGTGTAAAACCGGCAAAACTTCGAGATGAACATGTATGGCGGTTGTGGCTTTTTGACTGTTGGTAGAACTCCTCTTATTCTGCTTAATATTATCAATTGTTAGCAGTACCGAGCTGGCTTTCGATTTTGAGGGCAATAGATCATCAGTTTTTCCAGACATTAACGACTCGTTGAAATTTTTGGTTAAACATTTTAATTTTGATTTTTAACTATTCACTATGTCATATAGATAACTAGGTCTGCCTGATAATAATCATGCACATATCACGCTAACCATGTGGTCCCTTGGGTATCTTGCTTTTTATTCCCATGCATCCAGATTCCAACAAATGCAGCTGGTCTTATTGAGTATAGGGCACATCCTTTCTGGCAACAGAAGTACTGCCCTTCGCATGAGCATGATGGGACTCCTCGGTGTTGCAGCTGTGAAAGAATGGAGGTCAGTTGAAGGAAAATTATGTCTGTCCTAGATGAAAGAATTGATAATATTGTAAAAAAGAAAGAGGAAACAAACCCTGATACTCATAAGGATTCCTATTGAAATTTGCCTAGAAACAACCAGCGCTTTCTATTTTTCGCATTGTTGTTAATCCAAACCTTCCCTTTTATGCAGCCAAGGGATGTGAGATATCTGTTACTTGATGATGGTCGGAAACTATGCCTTGAGTGTCTGGACTCTTCAATAATGGATACTCATGAATGCCAACCTCTTTATCTTGAAATACAAGATTTTTATGAAGGCTTAAATATGAAAGTGGAGCAGCAAATTCCATTACTCTTGGTTGAAAGACAAGCACTGAATGAGGCCATGGAAGGAGAGAAGAATGTGAGGCTGATGGATTGAAATTATTATGATTCCAAGGAATATGCATTTTTTCAACTCCTTTCAGATTACATTATTTGCTTTTTGTGGGCAGGGACATCATCACATGCCAGAGACAAGAGGACTTTGTCTGTCAGAAGAACAAACCATTAGCACTGTATGAATTTCTTTCTCTGACATAGAACCTTTTAAAATCCGCAGAGTAGTTTAGACTCTTAGTTTTATGAAGATGCAAGTCTACTAATTTTGTAGTTTTGCCAAAATATTCCAGATTTCAAGGAGGCCGAGGATTGGGGCAGGGCGGATCATAGACATGTTTACAGAGCCTTACAGGCTGATCCGTCAATGCGAGGTGACAGCAATTCTCATTCTGTATGGTCTCCCTAGGTAATACTTCTATTGTTCTCTGTTGTCTACGAACATAGTTTTTACTTGAGCTAGTATGAATTCAACAAAAAAATTTCTAAATTCAGGTTGTTGACTGGATCTATCCTGGCTCATGAGATGATGCATGCATGGTTGCGGCTTAAAGGTAGTGTATTCGATATTTTTCATGACAGTAATTGCTTCTTCACTATGCTTAACTGCAAGTTACACTTGTGGGTCCTTTACAGGATACCCCAATCTAAGTCCAGAGGTTGAAGAGGGAATCTGCCAAGTGATAGCTCATATGTGGTTGGATTCCGAGATTGTGGCTGGTTCTGGAAGTAATGTTGCTTCGACTTCATCATCATCAGCTCCATCATCATCGTCCGCAGGTTCATCAAAGAAGGGTACCCGGTCCCAATTTGAGAAGAAACTTGGAGAGTTTTTCAAACACCAGATTGAATCAGACACATCAGCAGCTTACGGAGATGGGTTCAGAGAAGGTAACAAGGCAGTTCTCAAATATAGTCTGAAGAGGACTCTAGACCACATTCGGTTGACAGGAAGCTTTCCTTACTGATAAATTGAGTGGGTGATTTTCTCAGTGTCCCGTTTCTCTTACACATAAATATCTTTGCCTATCATATTAATACTACAGGACCAAAACCAATATAAATTAGAGCATCACCACGAGACCAAATAAAGAATTAATGATGCTGCTGTCTGATGCAGATTTCATGTTATTCCTTGCTAACACTGGACACATTTTATCTTTTTGTGCTATACATGTTAATATATAGGGGGAAAATCTGAAATATAATTTGATTATACTTGTTATTGTTTATGGATGGCACTCGTTACCTTTCATTTAAATAGATTGATGCATATAGCTTCATGTATGACTCGTAATTTCGACGAAAAGCAGAAGATAACACAAGGGAGACCGATGTGACTGGTTTTGTTTTTCGTTTGAGCTTGGATGAGGTCCTCATGCAAAGCAATTCTACATTGATTTGTATTCATTTCAAACGCAAGAGTTGTGCTGCCTGGTGGCACAAGCCATAGTGGCATGCCAAACTAGCCTTTTTTTTTAATCTTTTTAAACTAGCATTCTTCTTTCTTTTCTTTTCTTTTTTTCTAGACTTTTTGTGACAAAATTGTTGTTTTGCTTTGCTTAAAAAAGGCATTAACAAAGGGTAAAAATGGTTTTTTAAACTCGATAGGAGAGTTAAGCTAAAGATTTACACGAATAATTGAGCGAAAATTCAACTCAAATGAGCCTAATTCTGTACTGACAAAAAATGGGACTAAAAACAGGGATCAAACAGAATAGTGTTTGAAATCTTAAGTAATACTTGAATTTGAAATAAATCAAAATGGGAAAAAAAACATCCTTGTCACTAGTTGCTTGGAAATGTGTTTTTGCTGTGTGCATATCAAGTAGGAGTGGATGGAATAGAAGTATGGAACACATAATCTTTGCATGGAAGCTCTAAGCCTCATTGTAGCTGTCTCTAATTACCAACTACGAGAGATAACAAAAATCACACCATGAAAAGACACCGAACACTAGTCCATAATATAAAAAAAAGATAATAAGTCTATTAAACGATTTTAAACAGATTCATCTAACATCATCAAGATTAAATTCAAATTGACTTAAATTATATCATACTTTAAATACGAGTTACTCTTAGTATATAATATGTATAATATGAGAGAAAAAGAGAAAGTTCATATGAGAGAGAAAAAAAGAAAGTTGTACAATAGATTTTGCAGTCTGATGTGTGATTTCAAATGCCCCCACCTTTATTATTAGCACACCATTTAATAACGGCTGTTTAAATATTTTTTATAGAGTAAACAGCGCATATGATTCTCAAATTATGATTTTTGTATTAACTAAATTTTTAATTTTTTTTTGTATCCATTGAGTCATTAAATTCTCTAATTGTGTCAATTAAACCCTTCTCTCTACCTCCGTTAGAGTGTGTCACTCATGTGACTATACGACACAAAAAGACAGAAGGGTTCAAGCGACACATTTAGCCACTTCTGTTAGAAAATTTGACGGAGGTAGACAAAATGACTCAACTTATATAATTAGAGAGTTTAATGGTTCAATTGACATAAAAAAAGTTCAAAAACTTAATACTACTACTATAAAAATATCTTATAATGAAAAACTTTTAATTTTCTATATTATACTTGCATAGACTTCTATATCCATTTATACCCTAATCTCTTATCTTATTTAATTTAAACAATAACAATTTAATACGTCCATGGTGTATATTACTTTATGGAAAAATTAATAGACACTTTTATTCAATTACCTTCTCTTTGTCTTCTCTAAATGATGGAAATCTAATTGCAACTATCATTTAAGGTAATAAAAACATAATAAATAGTATGTCATTATAAATTAAAGTTACGGAAGCTAAAAGAGCTTAGTGGAAATGAAGGGATACAAAAAGTCATAAAAAGTTCAAAATGTTTAAAGAATTGTCAAGGCATATGTCAAGTATAAATTAATCCCACCATTAATACATAAAACCCACTCCAATTATGTAAATTGTAAACCAAAATATAATAGATCTCTATACCAAAAAAATTAAAGACTAAACTGGTTAATGTACAACACTCGAGACAGTGGCAGGGCGCACTCATACAATCGTGCCTATCCATGTTGGTTGCATGGTATGACATCTATGACAATAAAGGTGATACCAACCGCAGAGACAATAATCCTTTGGAGGGTGTGATAAGAAATTGAGACATTGGTCATAAGAGATAAAATAAAAAATATCACGAGTATAAGTATATGGTGGCCTAGTATTGTTTTGAAATTAAGACAAACTCATGTCTAAATGGCCTAAAATATGACTTTTACATAATCAACCATTTCAATAAATAGGTTGAAAAAGGATGGTCTTGGTTTTGGTTAATCCAACAAGATGTGCAGCTCATGTCGAGATCGGATGCGACAACAAAATTTTTATTTTAAATTTGAAATACCAAAAAATAAAAAATTGAAAAACATTGCTATGGTATTGATATCCATTAAAACATTCGAGGATTTGATTGTTCCAATTAGAATTTTAAAAATGACGTTGTAACCTAGGTCACGTACAACGCATGTGAACACTAATTAGTTAATATAAGAGTTATAATTTAAGGATTATATGTGTCAAAAAATATTGAGTACTTTATATTGTAATATTATAATCAATCAATTTAGTTGTCGAGAAAATGTTGAATTTAACGATGAATTTGCGTTATTATTATCACGTGGTATTATTATTTAATAATAAATTAACATATATGCAAGTAGACCTTGGTTAATTTAATAAAAACAACATGAAAATAACTACCAAGTACAATTTACTATGTTCAATTGTAAGTTTATCATTAGACGATGACATGAATTTGGTGTCACTGTTGCCTCAATATTTTCTCGTGTAAATGAATTGTGCAATCCTACTAGCCAAACAGACCCAGCTTGGAACAAAAACCAGCTAGAAACAGCATTCTGTCTTCTGTTCCTACCCTGAGTCTACTGAAGATTGAACCCTAAAAATAGGTTCTTTCAGACACTTTGGGCGGGAACCGGGGGATGCCCTAAACATCGCCGGGAAGACCACTTGCGACAGTGCGCTGGTATGTTAAGGCTAATACTGCTGCTCATCTTTGTAGTGCCGTGCACACCAGGTGTTTGATATTTGTTCTATTAGATAACTTCTTTATCTCATTAGCATTTGTGTAGCGAGGGAATACCTTCGACAGTTACCAATGCATCTCTGTTTTTTTTCCCTCTTTTTCTAAGTATGACGATTAATGGACTTCATACAATTGTTATCCTGTGCACTAGTTCGACTTGTCTCTTGTGACTTCTGATGCAGTGGAAAAGTTCATCTGTAATGCTAATACCTCTGTTCCACCTCTGGTCAATCTTTCACACCATTCATTGTTCTAGTATAATGTAATTGTTATACCCGTTGCTCTCCTTAACATTGGGTGTTGATCAGTTTCTAGCGTATAACTATCGAGCAACCATCTGCAGTGAGTGCCTATGTACCTTAGCCGATTCTTCCATATAGCTATTCTATGTAACCCCTTAACCCTCCAAACTCGATACTTCGCCAGTTATTCATATGTCAATAAAGTCTCTCTCTACCTTGAGCGAGCGGGGCTCATTGATTCAATAAGATTAAGTCTCCGGTCCAACTCTCCAGAATCACTCTTACCCCATTTAAATGATCCTGCTCTTGATTCCTTCGTAGTAGCCAATGCACTTAGATCAGCTCCCTCTGCAGACTCTGCACTGTCTATGGTTGAAACCCTTAAGAGGATTCCACATTTCTCACATACCCAAAATACCCTTTACACACTGGCAAAAATACTTGCGAAATCCCGGCAAATTGAGAAACTCACAGCCCTAATGGATGCCATCAATGCTGGGAAGTTCATTAATGTTGCACGCGTCAGCTTTATGGATCGCATGCGGTGGTATGCTGCTGCTGAAGACCTTGATGCTGTAATCCGTGTCTGGGATGAATGGAGGGCATTGCAGAAGCGTCCCTGTACTGAGTCTTACAACATTGTGATGGGTCTTTTTGCACAGACTGGTAAGGACTTTGAGGCTGTAAAGATTTTCCATAGGATGATAGATGAAGGAGCACTTCCCAATGCTAGAACATATACGGTTATGATTGAGCACCTTGTGGATTCAGGAAAACTGCATTCAGCGTTTGAAGTTTTTCGTATATTGCCAACGATGAGGATTAAACATACTTTAAGGCAGTATTCAGTTCTGGTGAGGGCATTCACTAGCAATGATCAGTTTGATGTGGTTAAGACTCTGCTTCATGAAATGTCAGTTGATGCAATATTGCCTGGTCGAGCCATGCGATGGTCATTGCAGCGCATGAAAGAGGCAGGATTTATAGGAGAGAAGGATGAATTGGTGAAAGCAATGCTGCCAGATGAGAGGATTAAAAATGTGGGTTATTCTACTGATGGTAGTGATGATGAAGATGCTGACAGCATCAGAGGTGATGCACTGGGACAAGTTAAGTTGAAACCATGGTTGGACCCGGCTGCTTTGGGCAGTGCTTTGCGTGACTGGAGATCTGAGGAGGTATCAACATTGGGGGATGCGAAAATTGTGTGGACAACTCGGTTGGTTTGCAAGGTGATTAGGAGTTTCACTTCAGCTGAAACAGCATGGCAGTTCTTCTGTTGGGTTGCTTATCAACCAGGATTTACGCATGATATTTACACGGTATCAAGGATGATTGCCGTGTTAGCTCGGCATGGGCATGTTGATTTGGTTGAGCAACTCATATCTAAGACAAAAAGGGAAGGAATTAGATTGTCATTCAGCACGGTTAGGTTAATTATTGACTTCTATGGTCTTTCAGGGAATGGTGAAGCTGCTCTAAAGGTTTTCCGCAGTGTTAAAACTCTATGCGGTCCCATGTCAAATAGTAGTTTGTTTCTTTTGTATTCATCTCTCTTAAGAACATTGGCCAAGTGTAAAATGAAAATTGAGACCTTAGATATACTTGACGAGATGATTTTGTGTGGGATTCTTCCTGATACCCAAACATTTTCTGGATTGATGCACCATTTTGCACTTCAGGGAGATATTAGAACGGTGCAAAGACTCTTTGGGCTAGTTAGGCAGAGTGACGTGGAGCCTGATGCTTACATGTATAAGGTTCTTATCCATGCATACTGCAAGAGTGAGAGAGCAGCTCTTGCACTGAGGGTTTTTGAAGATATGATAAACTCCAATTTAATGCCTGATGCTGCCTCAAAGCAATTGCTAGTGAAGAGTCTTTGGAAGGAAGGCAAGCTCAGAGAGGCAGCTGCTGTTGAAGAGAGAAGCGAGGAGATGAGTGATGCTCTGCCTCTCGTGTTGCCTGGGCACCTGTATACCGTGAGCTCTGCAGATCTTACAAGAGTTTATAACATTTATTCCAGTAGTTTTGCCACAAATGGTAGGGATTAAAAGTTAATTTTGAAAGTAAAGCTATGCTGTATCATAATGCTGAATGCTTTGTGGCTTCAGGTCAACATGATAAAGGTACTTCTCTTATGACATGAGTTTGTGTTTGTTTCTCTGTGGCATTATTCGATTTTCTTGAGTGGAAATTAAATCCGAGTTAAATTTTTCAAGAGTAATGGATAATATTCAACTATGTATTGATGTTGTAGTTATGCTGTTCATTACTCAAACCATACCCTAATCCTATCCCAACAGCAAGGCTCTTGTAAGAAAGCCTAACGGAATACCCTGCCGTCTCTGATCAGGGTTTCTTGCACTGTACCACCATTACCATATGTATAAATACTGCAGACCTTCATGTTGCTGGTGTGGTTGCTATAGTTTTCAGTTTTTATATTATGTCGGTAAATTTGATGCCCTATTGTCTGCTCTAGGATGATCACTGGTCCACCCAATGAAGTCATAATGTCTAGTGCAATAGTTAGTTAAGTAGTCTATTGATAAAATGAATTTTGAACTGGATTTCTGACCTTGGGACAGCTACCTAATCCGAAGGGAAATGAACCGCATTATTTTTCTCAAGCTCTTACTATTAATTATTGTGGGATTAGGACATAAAGTTGACTTAGAACCTTAAGGTTCTAATAGGCTTCAAGTTTAGGTTAAAGACTTAAAAAGGATTCTTTAGTGTCACACTTTATTTAATTGCTGATTTGCTCTTGCAGTTCCTTTGCAATGGCTATATGCATTTTTCTCATTTCATGTTATCTATAATGTGAATACTCTACCTACAGGGGAAAAATGTGGGTGCTACTCTTTTTGGTTAGTGTCAGGATTGGGTTTTCAAATATTCTTATTCCTTTTCCCCACGAGTACGATTCCGGTATCTCAAACTTGCTTTTTGGTATAGTACATACCAAAATTATTAATTCAGTGAAGTTGTTACAAAATAGGATTGTTTGAGATCGATTCTCACATTTTTGGATCGANTCCGGTATCTCAAACTTGCTTTTTGGTATAGTACATACCAAAATTATTAATTCAGTAAAGTTGTTACAAAATAGGATTGTTTGAGATCGATTCTCACATTTTTGGATCAAGTTGTAGCTTGACTCAATTTGATAGTAACTTGACCCCAATAAGTTGCAACTAATTCTTATTTAGTCGTAACTTGTAATACAGTTAATTATCACTATAGTCGTATCCTTTTCATAATCATGTTTACTTATTCTTGTAAATCTCTCACTCTCTCTCTATAGGACAGGGAGTAGGATAAACTGGCAGCCCTTTTATTTGGATTGCTCTTCATGAATATTAAGACGATGCCAACTCAAGAATCTATAGTTCTGTTCTAGCTAATCTTAACCCAAAAGGTTAAAACAAATGTGATGAATGTTCCCAACAAGCCAACCAGTAGTACATTATATATTCCTTCTAGAAAAACCATAGGTATATGAGATGCCATGATCTGATGCTGAATTATTCCTTTCTCTTCATTGACAACCATTGGATCGAGTTGATCAATTTGCTATTTTCTTAGTTCATCGGCTACCTGATTTTATATATAATTTGATAAGGACAAAAGTTCATGCCGTCCTAACTTGGGCTTTCTATAAACTAAAATTTCTGATGCAAATTCTGACAGAAGAAGGTACGATTTCTCAAGTTTGATTGATCCTTTATTTTGTAAAAATATATACAGAGAGAGACATCATTGTTACATTGTACCGTATACTTCTGTAGAAAATATCAAATATGTAGCCATCAGGGAGAAGAAACCGAAGGGAATAATAGAAATCAAAGCTAGAGACAAGGCCTTTCAGATTTTCATTTAAAACCAAATATATTCTAGTGTAGATCAACAGCGCCGTGCTAACAATGTTCTTATCTTTTCTGTCCTCCCTAAATTAAGACACTGACAGCAACTAGCAACTTTATTCTATCATCTAAGCTCACAGCTACTTAGACTTAGAGCCTAACCATCTAAGCTCATAGCAATGACATTCTCTCTTCTTTCTCTGCAAGCTGTTTTCTTCCTACTTTTCTTCTTTTCTGCCTCCCATGTCACTGCTCAAACAACAGCTAACGCTGACACGGACTTCTCGTGCTCCCCAGACTTGCCTGCTTCCTGTGAAACATATGTCACGTATCGTGTCCGATCAACTGAATATTCGGATTTGGGAGATATATCTGATCTGTTTGGTGTCAGCCGTTTGAGAATAGCAGAAGCCAGTAAACTAGCCTCTGAGGACACTCCCTTGGTTCCAGACCAACTCTTACTTATACCCATCTCCTGTTATTGCAATGGAACTAGTTTTTTCTCTAATGTCACCTATCAGATTCAGAAAGATGATAGCTTTTACTTAGTTTCAATCAATGCTTTTGGGAACCTCACCAATTATCATGTGGTAGAGGAACTTAACCCCACCCTAAATCCAACCAATTTGCAGATTGGTGTAGAAGTGGTCTTTCCTTTGCTCTGTAAATGCCCTACTCAGGCTCATTCAGATTCAAATATTCGATATCTTATCACCTATGTATGGCAGCCATGGGATGATATCTTACCTGTGAGTTCAATGTTTAAGGTAGCACCAATTGATATTGCTACTGCTAATAACTATCGAGACTTCAGTGCCGCAGTGTGTCTTCCAGTGTTGATACCCGTGTCACAATTGCCAATTCTTCCTCATCCTCATTCCTCTCCTGCTGAAAGAGATAAATTTAGGCATCGATTGATGCTTATCGTTGTTTTAAGCACAACTGCAGTGTTTTTTATTGTTGTTTTGTCAAGCTTATTGGTGTACGTCCATATTTCTTTTAAGAAAAGGAGTATGGAAAGAAATATTTCTTCGTTGGAAACTTCCGATCTGATTCGGTTCGAGAAAGCCTCAAAAGGCAAAACTTTTGAGCCTAAGATCATTCAGGATAAGCTACTTCCTGGGATTTCAGGCTATTTGGGCAAGCCAGTCATGTATGACCGAAAAGTGATCATGGAGGCGACTATGAACCTTAGTGAACGATATAGGATCGGAGGATCAGTCTACAGGGCCCTGATCAATGGTCAGATCTTTGCCATAGCAAAAACCAAAGATGCAGCAGAGGAATTGAAGATATTACAGAAAGTAAATCATGCAAATCTCGTGAAGTTAATGGGTGTCTCATCGGACATTGATGGGAATTGCTTCTTGGTTTATGAATATGCTGAAAATGGGTCACTAGATAAATGTTTGTTCTCAATATCTTCGTCGTCTTCTTCTTCTGTCACATTCCTCACTTGGACTCAGAGGTTATATGTAGCTCTAGACGTTGCCAACGGTCTGCAATACCTGCATGAACATACTCAACCAAGCATTGTGCACAGAGATATCCGAACAAGCAATATACTTCTCGATTCCAGGTTCAAGGCCAAGATTGCAAATTTCTCCACAGCCAGACCTGCTACAAGCTCTGTAATGCTCAAAGTCGACATCTTTTCTTTTGGAGTAGTGCTCTTGGAGTTACTTTCAGGAAAGAAAGCCATGGAAGCCAAAGGCAATGGTGAGATTATTATGTTGTGGAAAGAAATAAAGGGCATCTTGGAAGTTGAAGAGAAGAGGGAGGACAGGTTAAGGAGGTGGATGGACCCAACTTTAGAGAGCTTTTACCCCATTGACGGTGCTCTGAATTTGGCAAGCCTAGCAAGAGCATGTACGTCCGAGAAATCTTCAGCAAGACCAAGAATGGCAGAAGTTGTCTTCAATCTCTCCGTTCTCACTCAATCATCTTCTGAAATGTATGAAAGGTCTTGGACTTCAGGACGGTTAGAGGCAGAAGAAGCTACTCAAATTATCAGGCCAGTCATAGCACGTTGATCTAGTGTTAAGAGTAATGTAATATAAGTGTGTACAAAGTAGATCTCCTTTCGTTTGTCTATCATGTAACAAGAAAACAAGAAGAGTAATGTATAAATTTCCTTCCAGATATAGACATATGTGTACAAGTACATTTCCTTCTGTTTATGTACCACATACCAATTATACCATGACAAAAAGAACAGTCCTGTACCAATCAACCTTAAGTTTATATGCAGACCTTACTGTTTGTGTTTATACAGACATTTAAAATGCATGAAGTTACAATAAACACTTATGAGAGGCCACTAGGTCACTGCCAATGATAATTATCCTACCGATGATCTACTCCATAGAAAGGGTTCTGATTGATGTGCATCCAATTGAATCCTCATCAGAGTTGAAACTACTTCAGCCATGCTAAGTCGTTTTACCGGCTCTTCTGTCAACAGGCTACGCCTAATTTTACCAAGTGCAGTGCAAGTTCAGTTCGATCAATGATGTAGCCAAGAGGGTGCTTTACTTGAAGGCGAGGATCGATGATGTATCCAATCTCTGCTTCTGCATTTCCTCCATCCATGATTTGAAGTACTGCTTCTGACAGTAGTGCTTCTTCACCATCCTGCTTAAAAACAGCTTCTCTTCCTGTAATCAGTTCCAACAGAACGACCCCAAAGGCATAGACATCCATCTTAGGCGTTACCTTGCCAGCTTCTAAATACTATGGTGCCATGTAACCTCTTGTCCCAACAGACTTCGTAAAAGAATTTTCACTTTCTCCCGGTCTCTGCTGATCTTGCAAGGCTGAAGTTTGTGATCTTGGTCCTTAGATCTCTATTGAGTAGAACATTGCGACTATTAATGTCCTTGTGCACATACGCTGGATCTGCTAAGTTATGAAGATAATCAAGCCCTTTAGCAATGTCTAAAGCAATTCGAATCCTGTGGTTCCAACTCTCGACTTCAGGGAAACTCTTTTGGCTGAGCCATCTCTGTAAGGACCCATTTTCCATAAACTCATAAACCAAGTAGAAAATTCCGTGATGCTCACATGCGCCATAAAGGCTGATCAGGTTGAAATGGCTGATCTTCGTAAGAATTTTCTCCTCTCTCAATACATCTGTGCTCTTCTGTTTGATGGCAAAAGTTTTGCCACCAAGAACCCCTTGATAAACAGAAGCACACAACCTGTATTGGGAGCTAAAATTTTCAGTAGCTGCCTCTAATTCTTCAAATTTATAAAATTTTAACACTCGGTCAACTCCTGCAACGCGATCCAAAAAATCTTTTGGTAATACACATTTATTTTTCCCACTCTAATCTTCCCGGTAGGCTCATCTGTTTGGCTTCTCTTGTGCTGCCAAAACCCGAACAGAATAAAACAGAAGACCGCAAGAGAAACACCAGCTCCAATACCAATATAAAGTCTTTTCTTCAACTTTCTGTTCCTTTGGCTTGGAGTAGATGAAAGAGAAACGACGGGAGGATCATGAATTCTTGTTTGAGAGCTCAAAGGTCCAGTTGGTAGGGGAATTAGAGGTGGATCTTCTTCAGAGAATCCATTTGCATAAGCTACGCTAATACTACTTACATTAAAAATTGCACTCACATTAGGAATACTATCTCCCCAAGTAATCAAGTATGTAAGCAGAAATTTTATGCCTTTCTCAGTCTGATTGCTTGTAGGACAGGCACATCTAAGTGGTATCCGCAGATTCAAACCAGGAACCAAGTCGAATTCACCATACACGTTATCACGCATGAGTGAATTACAAGTGGTTAGCCCCTCATACGTGTTGTTTGCGATTGTGTAATAGGTGTCGTAAACACTCTGAATAACATAAGATGAATTAGCCTGATAGTAATAACCTGAGCAGTGACAAGTTACCGGAACATTCACCTCTTTGTCTTGTGGCACGAGCATAGAACTCGAGATGTTGTTGATCCTAGCCAGCTCCAAGAGGTTTGAGGATGTGAGGTTTGAAATGGTGGTTACTGAATTGTAATTGGGTTGAGATCTGAATATCAGGAATGCTTGACAGGTGTGATTTTCACCATTGCAGGAGTAAAGAAAAGCTGGATTTGGGCCTGTTTCATCGGTGTTATTGCAGTCCAAAACCGAGTTTCCTGCATACATCTGTTGGCCATTAGATTTTGAAGCTAAGAAGCCAAAAATTATGAAGAAACCGAGTGGAAACAGTTTCATGGTGAAAATCTATTCTAGAACAGAATAGATGACAGATGAAAAGCTTGAAGCTGCAATCAAAGTTTTTAAAGCTTGGCAGAGTCTACCAACACCCTTTCTTCACCTTCCTTTGAACATTCAATCAACTACAATTTGGTTGACTAAATCAAACTATACCAATCATGTTAACAACCAAAATCAAAAATTTAAGAATTATGTCTTAACAACCAAGACTGAGCTTCTATTAAACAAAAAGATGGCGATTTCCAACTTAGAAGGAAAAAAAAAAAAATCTCTGATACAGCGTCAGCTATAAATAATTGGGAAACAGTAGTAGAATTTTAGAACATAGAGGAATCTTCAAGCTCCATTAGTTATATAAAATGTCTGCTAATGATGTGAGCAGATTTGATTCAGGTGAAAAAGCTAAAGATTTTATTGAAATGTTATCCCAACATGGACTTTGATTAATGAATATTCAATCAGTATAAGATAGAATAATGCATCTAAAAGAAGGCATAGTAAAACAGAGGGGGGTGTAAGAAAACAATAGGATCGACGCTGACCTCTTGGTTAATAAAGTCTACAAGTATGCTAATTTCTTTAGTCACACTATTTTTTAAGCATATATTTTGAGTTAGAAATGATATTTTTCTATTCAAATTTTTGAGTCGTTTTAGGTTTCTTTTCTGTTGTAGGTGGCAGTACTCAACTGAGCAAGCAAGCACTCTACCTGCACCCAAAATTCAATTAATTTTAACTAGAGCATATGATATTAAGAACGGAAAAAGCCGAGATGTATTGTATATTATCATTTGTTGTCTATGGTATTTAGTTTTTTAGAATACATACTCATGTAATCGAGACATTGCTGAATTGAGTTGAATTTGACATTTTATCTTTTCAAAGCTTTATTTTTTGAATTTTGATCCATCAATCAAGTTCAATCATTCACTATTAAGGTTATTGGGTGCTATTAGGTGTCACTTGGATCTGTAAACACTTTAGTGGAGCCAGATGAATTTAACGATGGAATAAAATTTAATCAACAAAATTATGAATAGAGAGGACACGGATCGTATATATGAACAACAATTATTGGTTTTTTTTTTTTTTTTTTTCTGGAAGGTAATTAATCTTTCTTTGTTGATGGAATTTCAAACATTATATGTGCAAACATTCTTCCACTCTCTCTCCACATTGCTTCTTGTTCATTATGCAGAAATTACCTGATGCATGTGAAATCTTAGGCAGCATTTGGTTTGTTTCTTTATCAGCATGTTTTATTTCACTTCCCGATAAATTCAAGATACATGTTCATACTATAGAAAGACAAATGACTGTGAGGTATGAATTGACATGGTAGTAGAGTCCAACAGGGTCCGACAAGATTGGTACGGACAACAGTGCCGTGGCAGGCACTAGCGCCACGACAGCACCACAGTGCCACGATAGGCACCCCAGCAACAGCACTCCAATGCCGTGGAGGCGCCCAGTGTCGCAAAAAGCATCAAGCATCGGAAAAGGGCGGAACACATGCTCATTGCATCGAAAGTGGCAAAATGTACCCTTGACCGCAACAGCCTAGGGGCAAATTCGGCGGGACTCATCTCCCCTCATTGTGGAAACAAGGCACAAAAGTGAGACTACACAGTCGAAGGTTTAATCTGCTCGAGCAGGTCTCCTACTGTATGGCTCACCACTCATTGGAATGTGCTTGACCGAGATCTCGAAGGACTTCTAAAGATAATTGGGGTCATTGGTCTGACTCATTGTATGAGATATTAACACATGTGGATTGGTGATCGAAAGACCGAACTATGTGAGTTTTCCTTGGGCACATTGACAAAGGTTTGATAAAGAGTTCAAAGACGGAAGGGAAGACCCCGGATAGGAATGTGCTGGGGCTATCGCAGACATGACCCTCCTGCTATCATGGTCCTGCAGTGACCAGTTACAATTATTGACCATGAGAGCCCTTTTTTTGCCTTGGCTGGCACACCCCACCATAGAGGCCGCGTCCAGGCTACGTTTGAGGGCACATCACATCCGCCTAATTAATATTGGGATATGTGGCTCACAGTGAGTAGTCATTAGTATCACTGTAGTCAAGGCAGTTATAAGTTGATGTAAGTGTCAGAGGGCAACGATGGGCAACACTTGCTTGACCTGTCCGAGTATTGTGCTATAAATATTTGCATTCCTCACCCACCACAGGATATTGATGATTATCTGGTCTGAAAACATTTACCCTCTCCACGTATTCTCTGTCTAATTAGTTGATCCCTTCATTAATAAGTAGGTCGAGTTCCTTATATTCCATTCACTTATCCTATTCATCCCTTGATAATCCTTGACATAAACACGTCAATCAGCTTCTTTTAATCACCCACCTACAATTTTTTTAACTTATTTGTTTTGTTTATGAAATGAAGTTTTTCTATTTGGAATTGTGTTACCTATTACTTTTGTTGGATTATTCGTAACTATATATTTACAATACAAGCGTGATGATGAAAATACCTCTTTGAAAAGAAAAAAAAAGAAAAAGAAATAGACACTATATCCCGCATTCCCTCTTTTTTCTCTTTTTTGCCCTTTTTAGGTTACTTTTGGGTTTGCTTTTGAATCCAATTTGTAATGTCTAATATTATTTGACCCATGTTCTCCTTTGGTTAGGTATTTAGCAATTATTCAATATATTTTTTTTGGGAATAGAATTATTTATTTACTCAAAAAAAATTGTTAAAAAATAATTCTCATCGAATGTCTAACAAATATTCATCAAACATGTAGATGGAGAATCTGAAAAATCTTGTGACAGACGTTGCTGCCCTACTACTGTTTCATTCCTTTCTCTTCACTTTTCTTCTTTTTATTTGTGTGGGGGTAAGTCGTGGTTCTGTTTTGTTTTCATCGGGCTGCCCCTCGGGCCACCAGAATCATGGTAACAAAAATAGTAATCATCATAATATCATTTGAGTTAAAATATACACAATGAATAGTCAATCAATGCAAGGAGCCTGTTCAAAAACAAATAAAAACATGCCAAGGTAAAAGGGTAAACAGAAGAAGAACACCTACAAGTCTTACACAAATTCCCCAGACATTTTAGTATTCAGAGTTCTTGACAGACACAGCACAATCTCATCCATGCCTGGGCGACCAGATGGGTCTTTCTTTATGCAATTATCAATTAATCTAACCACGAAAATCGCAACCTCCACAGGATAATTACATTGTAGATAAGGATCCATGAAGTTGCTCAAATTCTCCCTTCCATCTTCCTCATGAAGCACAGTGACTAAAACATCAGACAAATGCTTCTTCTCCCCTTCATACAAAAGAGCAAATTCTTTCCCAGTAAGAATCTCCATCAGCAGGACCCCAAACGCGTAAACATCAAGCTTTGGAGAGATCAATCCATTCTCCAAATACTCGGGAGCCATGTAACCTTTCGTTCCTACTATGTGCCTTGTCAAGGCAAATTGACCTTCTTCCCCGTCTGCAGACCTTGCTAGATTGAAGTTAGTGATCTTGGCCCTGAAATCACTGTCAAGAAGAACATTAGTACACTTTAGATCCTTGTGGACATAGGGAGGGGAGGCGTAGCTATGGAGATAATTAAGCCCTGTAGCCACATCCAAAGCAATCTGTATTCTTTGTGTCCAATTCAAAATCTTATGATCGTCATTCTCATGATAGATCCAGTTGCTCAAAGGTCCATTGCCAGCATATTCATAAACAAGGTACCAGTTCCCATCATTGAAACAAATGCCCGAGAGGCGGATAAGATTGAAATGATTGATTCTGTTCAGTAAATTTATTTCCTTTGACACATCACCATTCATTCTCTTAATGGCAGCAAAATCCCCTTTGATTGTACCACAGTAAACTGAACCCTTGATCAAACAAACAGGACTGAAATTATCTGTTGCAGATTGTAGTTCTTCAAATGTGTACACTTTGAGGGATTGAGCTATACTAGATAAACCCTCCAAGAACTCCCCGGTTGTTTTCTGTAACTTTGTCTCAAGTGGTTTGTCATGCGTCTCAAGTAGCTCTGACACAGTAATTTGATCTGTTTTCTTCTTTTGTCTACGATCGATTGTNAAACCCTCCAAGAACTCCCCGGTTGTTTTCTGTAACTTTGTCTCAAGTGGTTTGTCCTGCGTCTCAAGTAGCTCTGACACAGTAATTTGATCTGTTTTCTTCTTTTGTCTACGATCGATTGTGCAGAATATAATGGCCCCAATAACCAATGCCAGAGAACCCCCTCCTAGAACTCCAAGTAGAACATATCTCCATGTAATGCTAGAGCTTTTATTCAATGAGGGGGCAACTGCTGGTGGTGGTGGTGGTGGCAAAGGTGGTTCTGCGGTTTGATTACTTATAGGTGGGTTTTGAAGAGGAACTAGAAGGGTGGTGAAGGGATATATGTTGTAGTCTTGGTCAGAAAGCCCATTGGCTGTAAGAGTCCTCTCAGTATCCACTCCAAACTGTGAACTTATGGCCCTGACAGAATTGCCAAGAATGACTAAATAACTCAATAGATACCTCACACCAATATCACTTTGGTTCTTTGTTGGACAAGCACACCTAAGAGGAACATTAATACTTGTTCCAGTAGCTAAGCTAAAATTCTGAGCAGGAGAACCATCTTGATCCTGGAGAGCTTGACATGTTGAGAGGCCTTGGAAGGTGTTATTAGCAATCAAAAAATAAGTATTTTCTTGGGCAATAGAATAAGATGTGTTTGCTTGATAGTACTGACCAGAACAACAACAATTGACAGGAACAAGCACCATCCCGTTTGTCGCGAAAGTCTGATTCTCAGGAGCAGAATTGAGCTGAGAGAGTTGTGTTGGGTCAGCTCCCAGCAGACCAGAAATGGATCCAACTGTGTTGAATGGGGGTTCAGATCTGAAGGTAAGGTAAGCTTGGCAACTTCTTTGGGTTATACTATTACAGGTGTAACCGAGAACAGAATTTGAAGTATCGTTGCTGTTGCATAGTGTGGTGGCCTTTCCGACATAAGGCTGCTGGGCATGAATCAAACAAGAACAAGAGATCAACAAGATAGAAAAGAAACAGAAGAGAGGCAAACGATCCATTTCAGTTCCGGGGAAAAAGATTCAGAGCTGATGCTTTCTGCGTGGACGTATTCAGATATGAGACAGAAATTTGGTGATCAAGACTATGGGAGATGATATTTCGAATTTCTAAGAAGACAAATTCAACAAACAAGCCTGAAAAAAACAAGAAAAGTGAAAATTCCCCGAATAAAGGGGAATGCAATGCCAGCCAGGTTGAGCAGCTCAATTAAAAAAAAGTATCTGCTTGGCTGACTGCCTCCATATGCATATACAGAAGTTGAACTTGTACAAAGAAGAATTGTCAAAGCATTTCTCTCGGTAAGGAAATTGTCAAACCATTAGAGTTATGTAATTTCTTGCTGTCCTACAATGATCTTAGACCCAAAACCAAACTATAAACCTCTATGTGGCAGTTGGGATAATTTTAGTAATAAAAAATTAAATGAAGAGAGCATTAGTGTCATTTTCGAAGACAATACTCCACAATACAAAAAGGAAGAGGAATCTTACTAGCAATTGCAGTGGAAGATTCGAAACTTGAAAGGAAACAAGGATGTTTCATGGGTTTCCAATGTACCCAACAAACTCACCAGCATAAGGTTTGGTTGAACATGAGAACTGCCAGCAGAGGAATAAGTCATCAACCTCCCTAGAAAAGCATGGGCTAAGCACTGCATGTTTACCCAATTATCAAACTGTTGACTTTAACAACCAGAAGCTGACCCATCTCCTGGAAGTATCTACCCAATCCGCTGATGAGGAGCTAAACTGATGGGACACTTCTGAGGAGTGGTGTCCTGGCACGTGTTTTTGGTGCCGGGGCACAACCCCTGAGCCCTCTGATAAGGCAATGTTCCCTTGGCACCAATGCACGCCCCAGGCCATAAATTGTTCCCACATGTCCTCGGCACTGAGGACACTCATTCTCTCTAACAAAGCCACGTGTTCTCGGCTCCGGGTTCTTCGAACAATGTGATATGTCACACCGGATAAATCCTTAACTCTTCCCCCTCTTATTAAAACTACAAAATATTCTTATGAATTATGGCCAATACCGTGTATATAAGTAGTAATTTCAAATTCAATGACACTTGCCTCTACCTTGATTGGATCCCGATGACACCTTTGGGCACGTCTCTTTGGCTCCAGTGTGGGTTCCTACCAACGACAGCCCGTCAGAGTCAGAGTTTGACACCTGAGTCATTGGGTTGCCATCCCCATAAAGTTAGAATGACAAATAAATAGGATTGACAATCAATGGGAGCCAAACACATGGCGTGAAGTGCAGGAATAGGGGCAGATTTAACACAAAGGTACACAAATTCACCTCTCAAAAATACAAAATAGTCTTTTTTTTCTTCCCGTTTTTCAAAGAACTGACTTGACCGTCAGAGAAAATATATCGAAAAATATTTTGGCACCCTTCTAATTTGTTTTCTGTGTGTTAGGAACCGCCTGTGACTCGCCAAAATCAATCGAGCAGCTCCTGAAGCAATTCATTATCACTCCTTCGGCTCCTTTCGCCATATTTGCTCTTCTTTTGCCATAGGATCATCAACTTTCTTGACGAACTCAAATTTATCACGAAAGAAATCTGTCTTTTTATCTATTATGCGAAAATCACCTCGCACATAAACAATAAATAAGAATCTGAACAACGGCATTAATAGAAATCAAAGAGATTTTACAAGTCCATAGTGAACTGCAATTAACAATGGGGGGAAAATCATCCCAACCGGGCCGACCCTGTGAGCTTCACACCTTGTCAAAACTTGAATAGGAAGTGGTTTAGATTAGGAAAAAGTCAGTCCAAAGTTCAAACTTGATTTGAAACCATAAGTCCTGTTATCCTGTTTTTAACTTCTCCAAGACAATAAAGGGGTCACTCACCTCATGATCTCTAGCCCACATAAACTTGAGTCCTTTTGATATTGACAAGCAGGATATGCTAACTTCTATCAAAATAGAAGAAAGCAATTGTTATGGAAAGGTGTTTTTTGTCTCGGTTGTCTATGGAGGTTGAAAATTTGTTATGATATAATTTTTCTTTTCTTTTCTTTTTTTTTTAAATTTTTTTTTGGGGAGGGATAGGGTACGTAAACTTGAACCTTTGATTTCAAGAAGATAAATCTTTCACACGGTAAGAAATATCATTGGACCAAAGGCCCGTTGATTATGATATAATTAGCATCCAAAGAAAATGATGGAACTAGTATTCTGAAAAATAAACTTGCACTGAGCTCAAGATCTATGGAGACCAGGGTTGGCTCAACAGCATTAAAAAAAAAAGCATGGGATGTGGGCCCTAAATTTTTAGGTACATTACTAACTCATAAAAAAAATTAAATCCTTTAAATTTTAAACCCTAAAAAAAGACCCCAAAATATTAAGTATAATCAACATTTTTATTGTAATAATTTGGATCCATGATTCAATTAATAACATTAAAAATCTAAAAATCATAAATTGAAAAAATAAAAAATAATTAAAAAATTAACTCATATTTATCCCTACTCTCTCTCTCCCTTTGTAAAAATTAGTATAAAACATTAAAAAAAAAGTTAAAATTAAACTCTCCTTCTCATAAAAAAAAAACAAAAGTTAAAATATATTTTCAATAACACTACCACTTCATTCTTCGGTCTCTATCAAATAATAAATTGAAAATAAATTAATTTTTTTAAAAAATTAATATTAAAAATAAAAAACCTCTTTTAGTATTTTCACTAAGTTTAATGCCTAAAATGTCCTTGTTCTTCATTTCCTATTTTCTTCATTTCTTTTTTTCTTTATTGCATCTTTTGCTTACCCATTTTGGCACAAACCCACTCTCAGACACACACTACCCCTTCTAGTTTTGATGGCTTCATAGTTGATCCCACCATATTTGTCCCTTTCCTTCAGCCACATCAACCCCTATTGTCGATCTCCATCACCTCTCCCAATTTGTGCTCTACAATCTCTCTCTGCTTCAACAACACATTTAATCCCCTATGATGCATGACAATGGAATAATTTGGATATAAAATGGAGTGTGAGAAGTTTCTGTGAGAGTTAATGGTGTCGCCCAATTGAAATGGCATCTAAAGCTTTAATGGCCGAAATTGAAATATAGACAATGAATGATGTGCGTGCTGGATCTTGCACAATATAAACACGAGAACAGATCTCTCCCTTGGTGAACTCGAGTGATTCAGTCGAATGGTCAACCCTGTTGCTTGGAACAGTCTGTGAAGTCCGGTGATAACCTGGAACAGTAATGGGAGACCCTCGTGGATCAATAGATCGATCCAGTAAAGCTGAGGAAGGTGCCTGGAACAAAGAAATACAAGTTAGAAGGGCGCCGGAGTGTTTTCTGGCGTATCCCCTTCGACAATCAAGTCAATTTTTAAGAGAGGAGAAGAAGAAAACACTGAGTATATATTGTAGCAAAGGTTTTTCGTTGCCCCCCACCTTGCCTTTTGCGAGGAGTATTTATACCTCAAATAATCATGATTGTTGTCAGTGTGGTTAGTAGGTAATCATTAGATACAGGCAACGTGCGCACTGATTCCTACGAGGAATGTCTTCTCTTTTAACTGCTCGGGATCCCGAGCAACCAAGGCTGTGTCATCGGCATGCCGACTGTTCAATGAGCTCCTCTCGGGGAGGATTCAATAAATGTCCAGCCTTAGAGACATTTATTGTCTTTCACTTCCGAGCCTTACCGCATTAAATGCAGTCTCATCAAGGGAATTGTGTAATTAAATGATTGCTTTCCCAAGTCGTGTGTCAGCAAGGGCATGCGGTCTTTCTGTCTCTAATGTGACACAATATGTCACACGTCCATTCCCCATTGGCTGTGGCCCCTGCCTTCCTGTGCCTTCTGATACCAATTGTGTAAGACGAGGTCATGATAGCTAACCTAGCCTAGCCTAGGCTAATGACCTGTACATCAGTAGCTCTGCAAGAGAAGAGAATGACATCCTAGACGTTGGTACATATCGGTACCGAGGGGGATTGGTACACCTCGGAGCCGAGAGGGGAGGTACATATAGCGACCAATGTACCATATCAGACCGAGGGATACGTGTTGGTACGTAAACGTACTGGATGCCACTTGATCCCTATGACAAGTACCTCGGGGGAGAGGGACTTGTGAACCGATGGGTACGTGATCTCAGTAACAAGGATTAGTGACACCGAGGACACGTGTTTTCATCTTTGAGTATTTTAGAAATGTCCCATCAACTGCCCCCCAGCCTTCGATCTTCTGACACCGAGGACACGCGTTGTAAAGAGACGAAGGATTTTGCAACAACCCCAACTGTTTCATCATTGCCCCTAGCCGTTTTCCCCTGCTTAGGACGTCGTGCGCATTAAATGCACCTTTTTCGTGCTTCGCGCCCAATGATGGGATTGATACTATATATAAATGGGCTTCCTCTCCTCTCTTCTCATTTCGTCATTCCGAATTTCTCCAGAAAGCCCTTGCCTGAATCGTCGCCGGAGACCTCTTTCCTTCCGTTGTCAACTGCCCAACCTTTTCACTGAAGTTTTAAGGCCAGCAGACCCATCCTTGCTTCTGAACATTCTAGAAGGAGTCGATTCAAGTTTTCCAGAAAAAATTTCTTTTTACATTCTGGTGAGTCCCAGTATCTTCTCTCTCTTCGCCCTTCTGTCTCTTTTGGTTTTTCGATAACGGGAGGAGTTTTCTGGTTGCCATTCAGCGACCAATCCTCGGGAAGCCTCCTTGGGGATCTTCGTGGAAAAGACCTCCTCCATTTTTTATCACTTTTTGGAGATGCCTCGTCGTCGCCCTGCCCCCGAGAATCTTCAGGCCAGTTCTTCGAGGCCAGGGAAATATAAAGTAAAAGGTGGTGAGCAAATTAATAGATTTAGGGTCAAGTACAACATTCCCCCGTATGTAGACATAGAGGATTATAACCCAGTTGTGCACCCTCATACCATCGGTACCGAGGATGCAATGCCCTTCTATACCAAAGTCATCATAGAAGGCGGGATTAGTTTCCCTTTGCCCCCTCTACTTCTCCAGTTCCTCTCTCATTTTCACCTCTTCCCCGGGCAGTGTTGCCTTAATGTCTTCAGGATAATTATGGGGGTCCTAGAGCTCAATAGGCTACTCGGGATAAATATTGGGCTGAACGATATCCTTTTTTGCTATTCCCTCTTGAGAGTCATGCCTCAACAACACTTCTACCTCAAAGCCAGGGACCCATCTATGTACCTCGTAACTCACCTTCCTGACTCAGACAAGGGGTACAAGGATGACCTACTTATCTTCAAGGGATCTTGGCAGAGAGGTGTCGGTCCCGAGTATAACGGCTTGTTATGCCCTTTGGAATGGAGAACTACAAGTACGTCGATTCCTTCGGGTCTATTATTTTGTTTTTGAGATGTTCTACGTGCTCATGACCAACTCCCCTATTTTTGCTTGTGCAAACATCTCCCCTCGGGAAACAACTCCTCCACCTTAGTCGTTGGTGAACTTTGCGGACCTAGTCACTGTTTGGAGATTCACTAGTGACAACGGGCTCGGCCGGGCTACCCACATCCTCATGAATTACACTTCTGGATATAAAAAGTTTTCACAGCTTCCCCAGCCTTTCGAGCCTTTGCGGTGGTCTGAACTTTTCGATCAGGCGGTGAGGCAAGAGGTCAAGGAGAACTTGGAAGAAGACCCTGACCGGGCTTCAGAGGCAAAAGTAAAGGGTGAAGTTGAAGAGCTCGGGGTCAGAGAGGACTTGGTTCCTTCGCACGCCGAGATGGGGACTTCGGGGAGAGATTCGTGGCCGGACTTCCAAATTCTACAATCTCTAGACGCCGAGGACGCCCTCGAAGTAGCTATGTCCAGCACGCCTCGCATTGATCTAGGGTTTCTGAGGCAGAGGCAAGCCCTCGCTGCCGGGAGGGGATGAGGATCG